AATTTTCCTATATTTGAAATTTTTATATTGTATGCGTAAACATAAGTGAACTAATTACTGTTTCTAGAAGTTGTGCCTTTTCAGTGTTTCCATGCCAATTTGCATAAACAAAATTTTTCCACGATGGAAAATAATGGCTTTTCTATTAGAGCTACCGAAATTGTTCCTAAATTTGCAAAAATTCGCAAACTATAGCTAATATTAAAAAAAGATTAGAATATTTGGATGTGTTAGTCTTAACTTGTACAACTTATGAATAAATAAATAAATCTTCAGGACTTTAAATATACAAACGCGATAACTTATTATTAACTTTAAATTATTACAAGCATACATTAAACACAACTTACACTCTTGATTGTGCCTGGTGGGCTAATTAGGCGTAAAGAAATAAAAGTTAAACAAGTGAAATTTTAGGCAAATGAATATAAACATAAGAAGTAGACAATTAAAAATACCGTAATTGTAAACAAAAAACATACAAACAACAATACACGGAACATTGAGCAGTAAGACAATATATATATGTACAAACATATGTACATGTAAAAGCAAAGCATTTTATTGTTATTCTATGAAGGTATGTTGGGGAAACGCAACGAATGTTGATTATGGAAGGCGGAACGGAACACCTACGTTGAGGATTGTTGTTGCCGATTTAACACCAAATTGCGATACACATGTGCGCAATTGTCTGTGTCCGTTTTAAAGTTGATCCTTCTCTCATTAGGGGTGTTCGTAATGTGTAACATTTCCAAAATAAGAAAAGAAATATAACAAATTAATAAATTAATTAATAAAAACGCATATTTTGAAACTGTATAGTTTTTTACGTAAATACATAAGAGTCTATGTAAGAGCAGGCAAACTCACAGATGCTTAGCCAAAAACAAGACAAAAAAGGAAACATATCACACTTCGTTTAGGTAGCACCAGGGTTGTTGCGAATATTCGCATTCGCAACCGCGGAAGTTCCGCATAAATTTGAACATTCGCATTCGCAATAATCAATGCGGAATGCGAATATTGTGCAAGTGCGGTGATAAAACGTATATTTGGCAAACAAAAAATGTTAGCTAAAATTTTTTTGCCTGTGGAGATGCTACGTTAAGACTGTCCCCTATGTCGACCTTCTTTCGTAATTTATGTTCAACGGCTGACTATAACGAGAGTCGACTATTTGCGCATTAAAAGATTACCTTTAATTACGTAAGAATTATTTAACTATCGAATATTATTTGTCAAAGGTCTGTTGAAAAAACTGGATGCATCGCTAGTATTTTTCTAATTTTTCCTAAAAAAGTTCAATTATTTTTTTCTCATAAAACTTATTATTCTTAAACTCGTTTCCTTTTATTAGTCTTTCAGCTCGAAAAGAAAAACATTTATTTTAATTTTGTGTAAATTGTCAAAATTAGCACGCATCGAAATAAAGATCAAATTATATGTAAATAAGTCGACAGCCAAGTTCTCAAATTAAATAAGAATTAATTCAAGGTGAATTATATATATATTGAGGAGTTGGACTTGGCAGGTAATATATCGTTAGTATAGTAGGGAAAGGGCTTAACTAACATCGTCGCTGAAAAACATAAAGCCGTAACTAACTAAATATCCGCTAAACTAGGCCAGATATTTTTTAAGTTCGAAATAAAAGTCTTTCCGGATAGTAAACAAACCGCTTATCCAAATTAAACAAATTTGGTACCAAATAAAAGAGGACCCAAATAGCTTTTAAACAGAAATAACGATCGAAGGCTACCACTTCTATTTATATTTTTTTTAATAATATAATACAAAAGAAATACATATACCTGACCCAAGGTTTGTTCGATGGTAGTTAAAAAACATTTTTAATTTAAATATTGTTCAATAGCTGGCTTTCTGCTGGCTTTCCTCGTTTAAATATTTCAGTTTTAAAGCTATTTTAGTCCTCTTTCAGCTGATACCACACTTGTTAAATTTAGGACTTTTATTTTCGACTTAAAAATATCTGGCCAAGTTTAGCTGTTGTAACTGTTTAATAAGGTCCCTGATACATATGTATGTTGAAAATTTGCGTTCATTCGCCTCAAAAGATATATCAAAACACATTGAGCGCATGGAATGGAACAACAAAATGGATTTGAGGGCTTTTGGTACGGACAGCGGTGAGTAATTAATTGTGACTGCCTGCAACAAGGAAAAGCCGAGCTCATCTAACTAATAAGAGACACTAATTACAAGGTATTCATTATAGGCGAACCTTTCCAAGAAGTCACTCGGGAACTAAGCAAATCTTAGACCTTTATCGTCCGTGATTCCATAATTCAAAAACACGATTTTAAACAAGATTTTAAACTAATTCTGCTGGCAGCCACGACTTTCAAAACAGATTTTTTTCGAAATTTTCATTCCTAGGAAATAGTAGTAGCAAATAGCATATCCACATATTCACAACCTCGCTATAAGCGCACATTTTTCAAACCAGTCACAGAAGAAAGGATTAAAAATGAATTACAAAAACTTAAATCGAAAAACGTTCTCCAAATTCTGAAACAACCAAACGAATTGGTGCTCCAAATTGGAACATAACGGCGTTTAAACAGCGATCTTGCTAGGTGACGCTAGATTGTGAAGATGAAAGTCAGGAGGATACATCCGACCTTTGCAGCCTTGATGCAATTCCCAAAAAGGAATGGTTGCACCGCAATAAAAAAAGAAATATAACTGAAAGTCCTCTCAACTGGTGCAGCGTCAATCGAAAAGAATTTACAATTTTGTCAAGTTTCAAGTTTTTCAAGTCTGTCGCCTCAGTTATTTAGTGGCGCAGGTTTGATTTACGACCCGTTAGGAAACCGGCTGTAACCCGAAAAGGCAGCAAAATTACTCCTTCTACTAAATAAAAAAAAAAACATTATTAAATATTAATAACTTTTCCATTTCTTATTTACCTAAATACCCTAATGTACTCACCAAAATTATTTCTTAAAAATATTTGACATCCGCATTCGCATTCGCATCCGCGGATGTTAGCTTTTAAACATCCGCATCCGCATTCGCATCCGCGGATGCCTAAAATTCCACATTCGCAACATCCCTAATAAGCACTTCTGAACTTTTGTTTTTGTAAAACACTTCAGCATAGGAAGTGCGCGGTCACACATGTACTTATCTACATTTGGGTATGTACTCATACAAAGCAAGCTCTACTTCAGTTTGGTTCTACTTCAGTTTTATTCTGTTGTTCTTTTGCCTGTTGGGCAGCAATCGTTCGAATCACAAAACCTTTCGCCAGTGTAACAGTTGATTTGTTATGCGTGTGAAGGGAAGATACAGTGCTTGAAATGAGAGCTGCTGGTGTGCAATCCATTTATGTAGTGCTCAGTATATCCAGTAAAAAAACTGTGGTGAAGTCCTTTATGGGGATAAAGTTTCCAGAGGTGAAATTTCAGGTAGCATACAATTTCTTACACGCATGGTTGCAGCACCAATGCAAGAAACTTAAGAGNTGGGGATAAAGTTTCCAGAGGTGAAATTTCAGGTAGCATACAATTTCTTACACGCATGGTTGCAGCACCAATGCAAGAAACTTAAGAGATATTAAAAAAAAATATGCGTATAGTGCATTAATTTTTGAAAGAAATACCATATAATGTATATACTCTGATTAATAATATGAAAAATGGATAAGAACCACCATTTAATGTTATATTTGATGCAAATTAATTTTGACACTCGGGACGCTCTGCGCATTTCCACTGAATAATAGGTTTACTTAAAATTACATCCCTGGTCCGTCTTCTTTCTGTATTGCATCGTGGTGAATTCACATTTCTCAGAAATTTGACAACAAAACAAAACGAAGTGAGTATTTTTTGTGCTAATTTTTTCGATTTCTATTGTTTAATGTAAATTGTATGTCTTTTTAGGATATGTTGAGGCAAAAAAGAAGGCGCAGTTGGAAAATGAAGTGATTAGTACGAAGTAGCAGCGCAGGCAAGATAGAATTTGGGAAAGTAAGTGCCTGGTTGCAGCATATCTATGTATTAAAAAAGTAATTAATTAAATGAAATTGTGTTTAATAGAATTGTTATTAATCGAGTGGCGTTAGTTAAGAGGTGCTCCACACATTTGGCGAACTTTTTTTCGCCTTCTCAACGTGCTAAGTTACAAGTTAAGATGACTGCCTCCACGGCCGGTAGGAAGCCCGAAGCAAAGGGCAAACAACCTTCCAGGAAGCCGCCTGCTGTCCCCAAGTCGTAGCTGAAGTTCAGCAAGAAGCAGGTCAGCAAACGTGCTACCCTGATCAAGCGTAAACTAAAGCGCTCTACTGTGATTGCACTCCGCAAACGTGGAAAATTGATGCATCTGAGAAATATCAAGCAAAATATCTCCGTGGTGGATGCCGTGAGAATAAGTTGCGCCGCCTGGCAAAGAAACGCGGCTCATTCTACGTGCCTGCGGAAGACAAATTGGCTTTTGTGATCTGTATCCGCGGTATCAACAAAGTTGCACCAAAAGAGCGACAGTTTGTTCCGTTTTCGCCACATTAACCACGGTTTGTTCATCAAATTTAGCCATTAATATGCTACGCATTGCCGAATCCTATATCACATGGGGTTATCCAAATCTTAAATCAGTTCGTGAATTGATCTACAAACGTGGAATTGTCAAGCACAACCATCAACGTGGCCCAATCTCTGACAACTTTGTGATCGAACGCAAATTGCACAAAGCGCACGATATTAAGTGCGTTGATTATTTAGCGCACGAAATATTCACTGTTGGATCCCAGTTCAAGAAAGCATCCAACTACCTGTGGCCATTCAAGCTCAACACCAACCGGTGGCTGGCGAAAGAGGGCTAATCACTACGTTGGTGATTTCGGTAACCGTGAAGATAAGATCAACAAACTGCATGCGCAAGATGGTTTAAAGAAATTTTTTGGTGTCCAAGGTGGAGTATTTTTATTTCACAAAAAAAAATATATAAGGAAAATGTTTTTTTTTTTTTTGTAACTTTCTGAAGGTTTAACCCGCAAATATGCCAAATGGAACGCAGCTTATATTCACGATTCCTTGAATAATGTCGGAATTCCATTGCCGTTTGTAAAGGCTCCATTCCACAAATTTACCGCCCTATTCCCTCAACACTGACAAAATTCATCATATGGCTATTGCCACAATTACTGCGCCTAAAACACAATATAAACATTGTTTCGCCGTTTAATTTGTTTTGGTTTTTCAGCTCATTAACGATGCACCCAGGATTGCATTTACCGTCTATGAAAATATTCATGAAGCGTTCCAAAATTAGCTCCGAGCAACTAAAAGTTGGTTAAGCTTAAGTGAAATAGTTTTTTATTAAATATTTATTCCTGGTATTTATTTAAAAAAAAAATCAGGTCAATATTAATGTATGAAATGAAGTAAATAAAAATCTAAGAATATAATTCTTGAATGTTTTGTCATAGAGCCGTTATTAAATAAAGACATAACCGTGTCGGGCATTGCTTCTGACGTATATAGAATTAAGGCATTAGAGAGAGATTAGGTTTGTATAGTAACTTCTCCAGTAAAACATTGCAGCCAAAGCGTAAAAGCAAAATAGAGCGTAAAATTTACAAGAAGAGAAAACTAGCAGAAAAAGTTACTGAACGCAAAACTAGTAAAAACTTGCAAATGAATAGTTGTTGCACCCTTTTGATATTCTGCTGTAAACATTTTACTATTTATAAATCAGTTTTAAACTGTTTGCTTTCCACACAAGCACTTACACAGTCTAGTACATAATTAATATTTTGATTTCCACTCATTTTACTTTTGTTTGTGCTAAACCAAATCAACAAATGGCGGCTTTTGACATTTATTCTTCTTCTTCTTCTGCTAGCTAATTTCTGCTAGTAAAAATTTCACTAGCAAGAATTTGCAGCTCTCCCGTGTTATTATGCTCTCGATTCAGTGCTCTCTTGCAAATTTTTTGGGTTATCATACACTTTTCCATTAAAAATTTGCAGGTTCCAGTACAAGTTAGTACTGACTATTGGTTACTATACAAACCTAGTATTATACAAGCTCAACGTGGTAATTTAGATATACTTACATATGTATGTATTTACCTGTTACTCGCCTGGCATATACTTCAACTGCGAAAATAATGACATAATTTATTTAGATGCATATTTTAGCTAAATGTTATATCGTCGGCTAGATAAAAGATCGTTGCATGTTACTTTCGGCAGGTTTCTCAGAAACTCGACTACATATTTTCTCCAAAGTGTTGAAGAATGCTATGTACTAGTTCACGAAATTCTTAATTATCTTATTTTTTAGTTTACTGTCAACCATTTATGAGTTTAATAAAATTTTTTTCGTATACGCCAAATGTGATAATATTTTTTATAAAGTAACGATACTTTACACTAATCAGCCTAATCGTGAGTCTCGCCCAAACAAAAAAAAAAATCGGCAGATATGTTTTCTTTCACCCACCCGTAGTGAATACACGGAAACGAAAAGTGAAAAGGTAGCTCGGTTCGAGAAAATGAAACTCATGATGACGCTGAATATGTCGGAAATTAAAGCAGATATTTAAAAACAGATGACGCTATCTTGATTAGTTTAGTACGACAGCATTACTAACGTAATTTGTACCAAATGACTTTAGTCAATTACTCGGAAACTAAAGAAGATATCCAAAAAAATGTTAAAAAAACGAAATATCCGATTTTAAAATATATAACTGCATCTTTAACTAAAAACTGTCAAAATAACGCTTACGGAAATTTTCCATCCAAGCGACGATATTTGAATGTTACTGGCATAATTTCGAGCCTGTATGTAAAATTTCGGGAAAATGTTAAGAAGTATATTCATATGCTGAAAAGATATTTTCGCAGACTCACAATTTATTTAGAGTATATCATCAACCTTATTTCCAATTCTATGAATAAATAGCTCCCATAACTTAATTTGTGCATTCGGTATATTTCACAATTAACTTAAATACTAAATTACAAATATTTGTTCAACATTATATATACATTTATATTTCAGCTAAACCTGAGATGTTCAATCGCACTGCAATATTTTTCTATCCATTTTTACAGCGCTAAAATAATTTTCACCACATAAAATTGCTGCACAACACCCTTTTTGACGAAAAAGCGTTGCTTGCAACACTAGTCCTTTATGGGGACCAAATTTGGTGGAAAAAAGTTGCTAAGTTTGTTTACTGGATATACTGAGATGTAGTGCTTGTGCAGCTGTTTAATAGGAAGTTAATGCGTTATTATAGTGACCACTCGCGGCATCTCGAAATAGCATCGCTTTAGTAAGCAACTAAAAGGGGTATAAGTGTATTTGACTCAGTCACAGAACAGTAAAGATATTTGACCAAATAACTAGTTTGTGCAAATGACCATTTAAGAAATATTATTGTCCGTTAAACGTGCAAAACGGCGTCCCTTGGCGCTATTTGACTTCTTCGAGTAGTAGGAATGCGTCGGTCATCGACTTTATATGTATGCATGTATCATTCATTAGGGTGTCTGTAAGGATGCAAAAAACTCGAATCAAACATTTGTCGAAAAGGTTAACAACCGAATTTTTTTCATCGCTAACCTATCAACAATTATAACACAGGCCAACAAAATTTAAACAATGTTATAATGACCCTAAAGATATTAGATAGGCTCTAGTTTTCGATCAACTTAGTTAAAGTGCCGAAAACGCGTTTTTGAACATTTTTGGAGTTTTGTAAAACAATAAATTGATGCAATATATCTATCTGTGTGGAAGGATATGAAAGCCTAAACACTGTCCTTTTATACTCAAAACCAAAAAACGAGGGGTTAACGGCCTTTATCCATATACTGCAGAAATTCCTATACCAATTTTTGAAGTACGACTCGAGGTTTCATGGATTAATCACCAAATACCGATGGACACTGACTCTAGCAGTTGAACTGAAGATGAGGAAGACACCTTTATACTCAAATTGCTTGAAAACTAGAGCCAAGTACAAATTTTCAACATCCGATTCGGGCTCTACGGTACAAATCTTAAAAGAATCGGCTGTGACTGCAGAATAGTTCGGTCGTGTTTTCTATCGCTCTGTGTTTATTTTCATTTATCTCGCAATAATGTCTTTATGTACTAATTGTACGGCCCATTGTGGGCTGAAAGATAAAATCTTAAACGCGATTTCGGATTTGGAAAAATTAAAAAGCATTTTTATCGCATTAATTGAACCAGCAAATGATAATTCTATTTCGCCGGCTCCTGCTACTAGTGGAAACAAAAGAACGACGCGTTCGCAAGCAAAAGCTAGTGATAGTGTTGTTGCTCAGCCTGGTAAATTGCCAAAGCGCGCTTTCACTGCGCCATCTAATGATGCTGTTGCTGACTCTAATACCGTGGCAGTACGAAAAAGTTCTGAAATGCATTGTGTTGCTGATGCGCCGGGTATAAATACTGGTTATACCGCTCTTGATGTAGTTGATACTAATACCGGTTTTTCAACTACTCCTAGTAGTAATACCGGTTTTTCTGCTGCTGTTGCTTTTACTCGCTCGCCAACTACTCCTGGTAATAACATCGGTTTTTCTGCTTCATCTCTTCCGCCTGCTTGTACTTCTCCCTGTTCACCAACTGCTGGCCCCGCTAACGCTGTGCCTACGTATGCCGCTGCTGCGGCTTTGGCGAACAATGCTAGGTTGAGCAACGCACAAGCGAAAAACGCAACTAACAATGCGCAAGCAAATAATGCACAGTGGTCCGCTATGGATAAAAAGCGTACTCATAAGAGACATAGGCGGTGTGTATTTGGGTCAAATGAGAACTCGGAGCTGGGAGTTGTTGTTCGCCGCAAATGGCTGCACTTATCATCGTTTTTGCCTACTGTAAGGACTGATGACATCATTGGCTATGTGGCTAAATATGCAGCTATCGATAAGAAGACAATTGTATGCTATAAACTGGTCAAAAAGGATTCTGATTTGGAAACTATTAAGCACATTAATTTCAAGCTTGGAGTTTCAGAATCTGACTACTCAAAAATTCTGTCATCGGATATTTGGCCCTCCAACGTTGCTGTCCGGCCTTTTGATTTTTTTCAAAAAGATGCCCAGCCGCAGCCCAAGAAGTAAAAAGTCATTCCACCTCTGGTGATCGGAAAATAAGTATCTATCACCAAAATACTTCGGGACTCAGGACAAAATCCGAATCTGTCTACATTCTCAGCTCACAATTGGATTATGGCTGCTTCGTTCTGACAGAAACCTGGCTGAATGCTAACTTTTTCGATGCGGAGTTCTTTAATCCAGCTCTCTTTGACGTTTTTCGCAAAGACAGAGATTTTGCTAAAACTGGTGTTAGTAGGGGTGGTGGTGTACTGATAGCTGCGCGCAGATATCTTCGAGCTTCTTTTTATCCGCTGCTAGATGCCAACTCCCTGTTGGATCAGCTTTGTGTAAAATTACATGGCACCTGTGGTGTGCTGTACATTTGTGTGTCCTACATTCCGCCGGGCAGCTGTGATGTCATATACAAGGCACATGTTGACAATATACTGGCACTCCACGAGAAAATTGGAAACAGCCAACTTTGTGTTTTAGGTGACTTTAATTTATGTAATATTTCCTGGAGCTTTATTGATAACAATATTTTCCTCACCCCATCAAATGTTACTACTTTATCTGAATCATATTTAATTGATAATTTATTATGTATTGAATTATTTCAAATCAATGGTTTTTTTAATGAGTTAAACCGAATTTTAGATTTAATATTTATTAGCTCTAATATAAATTTCAAGCTCTCTCATGCGGCCAGTTACATCTCCCCTCCAAATCAGCATCATAGCCCTATGGTTTTGGAGTTTGAATTTTACCAATATTTTGAATTACCGACTGCTAGTCAGACGGTTGCTTTTAACTACTCTTGTTGTAATTTTGCTGAATTGAATAATTTGTTTGATTTGGATTGGTCCCAGCTCTTTGGAAATGTGGATGTAACTGGTTGCAATGATATGNATTGGTCCCAGCTCTTTGGAAATGTGGATGTAACTGGTTGCTACGATATTTTTAAGTCTAAACTTTGTGATATTTGTGTGGGTCACATCCCAATTCTTAATTCGAAAACCGCTAAGCGTCCATGGTTTACTAAAGAACTCAAACGTATAAGGAATAAGAAGAATAAGTTCTACAAAAGACAAAAGCATTCCAACGATGTTAATTTGCGTGAGCGTTACGTGTTTTATAGAGCTGAATTTAACAGGATCAATAAATCTTTGTATAGGATTATATTCGCGGTGTAGAAAGCAATATTAAATCTAATCCCAAGTTCTTCTGGAGTTATATTAAATCAAAGAAAAATTGCTCTAATAT